TCTCGCCTGGCCGGCAGACAAGAGGCCAGCTCGGTGAAAGGTCATCGCAATGATTTCATGTAATGTTTTCATGTTAGAAAGGCTTCTTGCAAACGGAGAGAAAGTGTCAGTTCAACGTAGCTTATTAGCCTGAAAGCTTCATGGAATAATCTTAGCCTGGAAAGCAGTACACTTGGGATTTCTTGCATGGTGATTCATGGGGCAATTGTTTCATTGCTCGTACCTGGGACTCTGGTTTGAACTTTGCCAATAGGATTGTGTCTCCTGCTTTTACCTGAAGATCTTTGGAACTATATTCTGCATTTAATCTTAATCTTTGGAACTTTATTTTTTCCTTAATAAACTGTAAAACTACAGCTCTTGTGTGGTGGTGTTTGGAAGCAAGGTGAAGCTTACTCTGAGTTGCAACAAAAAGGAGCAAACAGCATCCACATTTCGGGACCATCTATTTCGGTTTCATGTCATCTTGACCTCTGGATGCCTCTGCTTTGTTTTGCAGATCTTCCAGGCTTGCTAATCCTTCCTCCTTTGCCTCAGTCTGCATTTCTTTATTTATTTACAGCATGTTTATCCCGCTCTTTTCAGCCCGGAGGCGTCCAGATCGGCAACAATGAGATGCCATGAACATACATACATACAGTTCAAAACATTTAATATCACACAATGAAATTCATATAAAACCAATTAAAACTATAAAAATTAATGCCAACCAGTTCAACTCCTTATCTGTTTGCATCGTCTAATCCATTCCATGTTCATTATTTATTCATACCGTATTTTTCTAATTATGCCGTGTTGCCGAAAGCTTGCTTGGTTGTTGTATGTTTTTCAGGCTAGATGGCCATGTTCTAGAAGCATTCTCGTCTGATGTTTTGCCTGCATCTATGGCAAGCATCCCCAGAGGTTGTGCTTGCCATAGATGCAGGTGAAACGTCAGGAGAGAATGCTTCTAGAACATGGCCATATAGCCTGAAAACCCTACAACAACCCAATGATTCCAGCCATGAAAGCCTTTGACAATACAGGTTATTACTCTTTTCTGAAAAGCCAGGTGGGAGAGGGCTGATCTAATATCCTTGGGAAGGGAGTTCCACAGCTGAAGGGGCCACCACTGAGAAGGCCCTGTCTCTCGTCCCCGCCAGGTGTGCTTGCAAGGAAGGCGGGATTGAGAGCCAGGCCTCTCCATTCTTGGATGGTTTGTAAGGAAATATACTTTCGGATAGGTAAGCTGGGCTGGAACGCTGTTGCAGTTTGGTGCCATTTCAGCTGCTGAGGCTCCATCTGACTCAGGTTGCATCTAAAATCGAATCAAACAGTATTCATTCTCCAGTTTCCCTTAGGATCTACTGACCCGTTCTCTCCCATTCTGTTTATTTATTTATTTACAGTATTTATATTCCACCCTTCTCTCCCCGCAAGGGACTCAGGACGGATTACAATGTACATATGTATGGCAACATTCAATGCCATAGATACACAACATATATAGACAGACACACAGAGGCTATTTAACATTCCAGCTTTTCATAAGGGTATTCTGGCCACCAGGGAGCTGTCGCTTTACCATCCATTTGTAACACTGATGAAATTCTTCCTCATTCTTTGCATGCTTGCTGGAGATTTTTATGGCCTCGTAAATTAGTTAAATTAGCCTCCCTGCATAAGCAGTACCTAAATTTCCTACTTGACAGATGCAACTGTCTTTTGGGCTGCAAAGGTTGACAGCAAGCTACACAAATTGGTCAGAAGCTCACTCCAACCCGGGCTGGCTTCAAATTCATGACCTTTCGGTCAGTAGTGATCTTAATGCAGCTGACTCCCAGCCAGCTGTGACACAGTCCTGGTGCATTCTAAAGAGAATCTGGGTTATATGGCAATGTAAAGGGGCCCTAGAATCACATTGGCTTTGCTAGCCACTACATCCCATGGTTGGTCCAGCAGATAATGTGGATTATATGAGTCTACGCTGCTGTATGATCCAGTTCAAATCAGATAATCTGGATTTTATATGGCAGCATAGAAGGGCTTCCCCGTAGTCACCTAAGGATGTGAGAGCTGTACCATAAGGAAAGCTGAGCGAAGGAAGAGAGATGCTTTTGAACTATGGCATTGGAGGAAAATTCTGCGGGTGCCTTGGACCACAAGAAGATCCAACCGGTCCATCCTTCAGGAAAGAAAGCCCAACTGCTCAGTGGAGGAAAGGATAATAGAGGCCAAGATGAAGTCCTTTGGCCACGTCATGAGAAGGAAGGAAAGCTTAGAGAAGAGAATGATGCTGGGGAAAATGGAAGGAAAAAGGACGAGGGGGCAACCAAGGGCAAGGTGGGTGGATGTGGCATCCTTGAAGTGACTGGCTTGACTCTGAAGGAGCTGCGGGTGGCCACGGCCAACAAGGAGCTCTGACCTGGGATGGTCCAGGAGGTCACCAAGAGTCAGAAGCAACTGAACAACAATAGAAGGGGCTCAGGCTCCTCAATGCCTTTTGCCGGGACTGTTTTCAAGACAGATGCCACCTATCCTAGATTGCTGCGTTTCACCTACGTTTCTCCCTGTTGAAGGATTGGAGCAGGGCAGTGGTATCTGCCCTCTCCTTGGGCCAAGGGCCAACACCCAGAGCCAAGCAGGGCTTTGGGCTTCTCTCCCCGCAGGTTCAGGGGTAGCAGGAAAGGGTCAGGGTCCCCACTCCCTTGCTGGGCAAGGCGCTCCCTTCCAGGCCGGTCTGGAGGTGGGATCGGGACCTCAAAGGAGGCTTGTTTTGAGGAACTGCCAAGGGCTGTTTTGCCACTGCAGGAAGGCAAGGCTCCTGTTCCGGAGGTGAGCGAAGGAAGGAACGCAGGATCGGCCGGCTGTTTGCTTTGGAGCTGGGAGCACAGCTGAGCAGGCCCCTGCGTGCCTGGAAGCCGAGCCGTGGCCGTGGCGGCCCAGGTGCCAAGGCACAGATCCGGCACCCAGGAGGAAGGAGGCTTCAAAGCAAGGGAGAAAGGGGGCCTCTACATCCCTTTCTCTTTCCTTTCTCCTTTCTTTTCCTTTCTTTTCCTTTCTTTTCCCTTTCCCTTTCCCTTTCCCTTCCCCTTCCCCTTCCCCTTCCCCTTCCCCTTCCCCTTCCCCTTCCCCTTCCCTTCCCTTCCCTTCCCTTCCCTTCCCTTCCCTTCCCTTCCCTTCCCTTCCCTTCCCTTCCCTTCCCTTCCCTTCCCTTCCCTTCCCTTCCCTTCCCTTCCCTTCCCTTCCCTTCCCTTCCCTTCCCTTCCCTTCCCTTTCTTTCTTTCTTTCTTTCTTTCTTTCTTTCTTTCTTTCTTTCTTTCTTTCTTTCTTTCTTTTCTTTCTTTGCCCTTCCTTTCTCTCTTCTTTCCTTCTTTCCTTCCCTTTTCTTCTCCCTTTTCTTCTTCCTTCTTCCTTCCTTCCTTCCTTCCTTCTCCTTCCTTCCTTCCTTCCTTCCACCCTCCCTCCCTCCCTCCCTCCCTCCTTCCTTCCTCCTTCTCTCTTTTTCTCTTCCTTTTCCTTCCTTCCTTCCTCTCCTTCCTTCCTTCCTTCCTTCCCTCCCTTCCCTTCTTCCTTCCCTTCCCTTCTTCCTTCCTCCCTTCCCTTCCCCTTCCCTTCCTTCTTCCCCTCCTTCCCTTCCTTCTTCTTCCTCTCTTTCTCTCCTCTTCCTTCCTTCCTCCCTTCCTTTTTCCTTCTCCTTTTCCTTCCTTCCTTCCTTCCTTCCTTCCTTCCTTCCTTCCTTCCTTCCTTCCTTCCTCCTTCCTCCCTCCCTCCCCTCCCCCCCCTCCCTCCCTCCCTCCTTTTTCCTTCCCTTTCCTTCTCCCTCCTTTTCCCCTTCTTTCCTTTCCTTCTTCCTTTTCCTTTCTCCTTTTTCCTTCCTTCCTCCCTTCCTTCCTCCTTCCTTCCTTCCTTCCTTCCTTCCTTCCTTCCTTCCTTCCTTCCTTCCTTCCTTCCTTCCTTTTTATATAGATGTTAATATTTTATTTGTATTTATAAACTGTTTTTAACTTGCATTTTATAGTTGTGGAGGCATCAAATTGTTGCCTATTGTAAACCGCCCTGAGTCGCCTTCGGGCTGAGAAAGGTGGTATATAAATCAGGCAAATAAATAAATATGATGGCAGTGGCTCCTTTTGCTGCTCTCCTCTGCTGACCTGCACTGACCACGTGGCTTGGCGGTTGTGTCTTTGGACAGCGCCCTTTCCAACAGCTGACCACCACCCTGAGTCTCCTTTGGGCTGAGAAAGGTGGTATATAAGTGTGGCAAATAAATAAACATGATGGCAGTGGCTCTTTTTGCAGCTCTCCTCTGCTGACCTACGCTGACCACTTGGCTTGGCGGTTGTGTCTTTGGACAGCACCCCTTTCCAGCAGCTGACCACCGCCCTGAGTCACCTTCGGGCTGAGAAAGGTGGTATATAAATGTGGCAAATAAATAAATATGATGGCAGTGGCTCTTTTTGCTGCTCTCCTCTGCTGACCTGCACTGACCGCTTGGCTTGACAGTTGTGTCTTTGGACAGCGCCCCTTTCCAGCAGCTGACCACTGGCCTGAGTCTCCTTCTGGGTCCCTCTTTGCTCGCCTTCCTTTCCCCAGCCACCGAGTTGCTTTTTAACAAGCCGTTTTGCTCTTGACATTATTTTTAGGAATTCCTCCGACGGTGGAGTGTGGTTGGGACTTGCCAGAGCTGGGGAAGGGGGAGAGGGGAGGAGAGGGGAGGGGGCAACCCGAGAAGGCTTCTCCCTCCTTCCTTCCCCATCACTGGGAAGGCTGGCAGGAGGAAGAAGGGGGTGGTGGTGTTGGCTGGCTGTGGTCGCCCCCATTAACAGAGCCTTGCTGTTTGGCCAGCCTGCCAAGGAGCCTCCTCGGGTTACGGCAAGAGAGAGAGAGAGAGAGAGAGAGAAGGGGGCCCACAGAAGGAGGGGACGGGGAAGGGGGGCACGCGGTGGGAGTGTTCTCCAGATGCAGCCAGCCTCAAGCCTAACCCCCCTCTCCCCTCTCTTTCTCTTTTTTTTCTGCAGAGTTTTTGGGATCTGGTAGCTGGAAGGCCATGGGGAACTGCAGAGCCAGCCACCCAGGCAGAAGGAGCAGGACTTGAAGGTACGTGGCCGAACCAGAGGGGAAGGTGGGCTGCCATTCAAAGGCAGGAAGGGTCATCGTTTTGTATCTCTTGCCCTGCATGCTTGCCTTGTGCACGCGTTGCTGGAGGAAAGGTCCTTTTGGGTCTGAGTTGAGGTGTCAGTTCCTACGTTCCCACATGCCGTGGGTGGAAGGCGCTTCTTGTGTCCTGCATGCTTGCTGGAGGAAAGGTCCTTTTGGGTCTGAGTTGAGGTGTCAGTTCCTACGTTCCCACATGCCGTGGATGGAAGGCGCTTCTTGTGTCCTGCATGCTTGCTGGAGGAAAGGTCCTTTTGGGTCTGAGTTGAGGTGTCCGTTCCTACGTTCCCACACGCCGTGGATGGAAGACACTTCTTGGGAAAGCCAACCTCATTGGAAGGACTTGGGAGATTCCAGAGGCAACCCAAAGGCATCTCTGAGTCACGCTTCCCTCGGCCAGGAGCCGGGACCCCTGAGTCAATGGGGTCACTCCCAAGAAAGATGGGGCTGAGTCAGAGTGTTGCTAAACATGTGCTCACATTGGAGAGGAATCCACGCATTTCTTTCTCTTTCTATGCATTTGGGAAGGAAGCAGAAGAGAGCGAGACTGCAACCTCTCTTGATCCTTCCTTCCTTCCTCCTTCCTTCTTCCTTCCTTCCTTCCTTCCTTCCTTCCTTCCTTCTTCCTTCCTTCCTTCCTTCCTTCCTTCCTTCCTTCCTTCCTTCCTTCCTTCTGTTCTTCCTTCTTCCTTCCTTCCTTCCTTCTTTTTGTCTTTCCTTCCCTTTTTTCTTTCATTCTCTCCTTTCTTTCTTCTCTTCTCTTCCCTCTTGATGCAGCCTAGAATCGCATTGGCCTTTTGCGCCCTCACCTTTCTCCTCCTTCTCTTCCTTCCTTCCTTCCTTCCTTCCTTCCTTCCTTCTTCTCCCTCCCTCCCTCCCTCCCTCCCTCCTCCCTCCACGTTGCTGTGGCCAACCTTCCCTCCGTCTTTCTCTCCTTCTTTCTTTCTTTTTGTCCTTCCTTCCTTTTTTTCTTTCCTTCCTTCCATCTCTTCCTCTTCTCCTCCTTCCCCCCATTTCTTTCCCTTCCTCTTTCTACCTTTCCTTCCTTCTCTACCTATTCTTGGACTGCAACTCCCAGCAGTCCTTCTGATCAATCTATCTACCTATCTATCCATCTAATCTATCTATCTTATCTATCTGGAGGATTGCTGGGAGTTGCAGTCCAGGAATAGGAAATTGGAAATATGCAGGGATTGGGATGCTCTCAAAGAAATCCAAGGAGAAGAAAGCTTGCAACTTGGAAGCAGTGCATTTGGATCATCCTCCTCTCCTAAAGGGCCTGGTCTAGGGGATGCTGGGAGCTGTAGTCTGGAAGAGAGTGTGGATATGCTATTGTGTGTTTTGTTTGCCAGGGGGAGTTATTTCTGCACATGCGCTGTAGCATCTTTTTGCTTTTTTGGCCTTTTAAATCCCTTCTGCTGTGTTTTTCAGTGTTTTTATGAGTGATGGTCACTTGTTGGCCTGAGAGGTGTCTTGTGTCCAAATTTGGTGTCCATTTGCCCAGTGGTTTTTTAGTTGTGTTTATCCCACAAACTAATATTACATTTTTATTTATATAGATTTATTTATACCCCACTTTATCTGGAACTCAAAGCGGTTCTACTAAAACTCCAAAGTCACACGGACTGTTTCCAAGCCAGGTGTCATCCATCCTAGATCTGTACATTTCATTATTATTGCAAAATGTACTACCATACATTTCTTTTGAGCAGACTAATTCATTGTTGTCTTGGAGTCTCCTGCTTTATCTCCTCCCCATTAATTTAAAAATATGGTTTTGGAGAGAGGTTCCAACATATAATAGAACAAATATATTTGGAAAACAGGGCTAAAATTATAATTAATGATTCAAGTACTGAACCCTTTAGTATTATGCAAGGAGAAAAGCGGGGCTGCCCTCTTTCTCCAGTACTATTTATATTAGTTATGGAATTATTGGCCTCTGCAATTAGGAAGGATAAAGAAATACAGGGAATGGGAGTGGACAACAAAATCAAAATTAGCTTATTTGCGGATGACATGCTTTTGACAGTCAGAATCATAGCATCATAGAATCAAAGAGTTGGAAGAGACCTCATGGGCCATCCAGTCCAACCCCTCTGCCAAGAAGCAGGAATATTGCATTCAAATCACCCCTGACAGATGGCCATCCAGCCTCTGTTTAAAAGCTTCCAAAGAAGGAGCCTCACCACACTCCGGGGCAGAGAGTTCCACTGCTGAACGGCTCTCACAGTCAGGAAGTTCTTCCTCATGTTCAGATGGAATCTCCTCTCTTGTAGTTTGAAGCCATTGTTCCTTGCGTCCTAGTCTCCAGGGAAGCAGAAAACAAGCTTGCTCCCTCCTCCTCCCTGTGGCTTCCCCTCACATATTTATACATGGCTATCATGTCTCCTCTCAGCCTTCTCTTCTTCAGGCTAAACATGCCCAGCTCTTTAAGCTGCTCCTCATAGGGCTTGTTCTCCAGACACTTGATCATTTTAGTTGCCCTCCTCTGGACACATTCCAGCTTGTCAATACAACCTACAATCAAAGAGCCCCTGGAAGCCCACTGTTCTGTCATGTGCTGGGCCTGTAAATAATTATCTTTTGCCCAGCGGGAAGCCAAGGGGCCCAAGGAGAAGTTTTCAGAGGTTTTCCACCACAAATGACCTTCAGATGGCTTGTGAAGTCAACAAAGTCTTTTATTAATGAACAATCAAACAGAAACTTCTCTTGTCTTCAATAAAGCTAAACAATTGTTTCCAAGCTTTATTGCAACTGGTGACTTCCTAATCTTGCCCACAAAGGACAGGCAACTGTCTTCAATAACTTCTTCTTTACTTTAAATGAAAATCCCCTTTTTAACTTCTCCCAGGCTGACTGTAATCTAACCCTTACTGATGTGGGCACCACTACCGGGTCGAACTGCATCTCGAAGCACCGAGTGGACCTACCAGTAAAGGCTTAGGTTTCTCCAGCTGGAGTTCTTTGGTCTTTAGAGCTGTTTTCCTGGAAATCTTTGGAGGCTCTTAAGACTGTTTCCCCCCAGAACGTCTTGATGCTATTAAGACTGTTTCCCCCCCGGAAAGTCTTAAGGGTTGAAGCTTTTGTAGAGGGGAAGCTTGCACACGCCCTGTACATTAGCTTTCCTTGCTGATACTGACTAAAAATGGCTCCCTTCCCTTCCCAATTGCCCTGAGCAAGAGACGGAATCAAAACTTAACGATGATGGACAGGTGACTTGCCCTACGACTGCAACCAAAGGAAGTCACCTATCTGCAGAGTCCCTGAAACCCAGGACTTCAAGCAAACATTTAATACAAAGCAAATAAAATTGGAGCTCCTGGTACGGCCATACCAGCACACCCACCAACGATAGAATTAGGCCAAACTTCCCACACAGAACGCCCATGAGCAACAGAAAATACTGTGTTTTCTGATGGTCTTTGGCGACCCCTCTGAAACCCCCTCTTGACCCCCCTAGGGGTCATGACCCCCAGGTTGAGAACTGCTGACTTACACTATGCAACAAAATTTGAAAATAAATATCTTCCTGGTTGGAAAGTGTTATTTCCTGTTTAATCGTGCTGTACTTACTCTGAAAGTAGTTGTTCTACTCCAGAAACTTTGTTTTTGTGGCACAAACTATGTTGAATTGGCTGAGATTCAATGACAAGATATCCCTTGCAAAACGATTGCAAAATGTGCTGCTGCAGGATGATGTCCTTCCTGCAAAGACAAAAGTTTTTGCAGTTTAGTAAACTTTCCCCGTGTTTTTATGATGGAACCAATTAGGAAATGACATTTACAACCCAGGAACGGAGATCGTATTTCAGAGTGTTATTAACGTCACACGGATAGAAGGTGAAGCAGTTCCAGCCTGGTTGACAGCAGAGTATTTGCAGCCATCCAGAAATGCTAAATGCGTGAATAATGCCTGTCCGGGGCTCCTGGGAAGGATGCCTCTCCAGCGCATGGACTGGCCCTTGAGTCCCAATGCGCTTCTGCAGAGGCGTGCTGATTCACGGCTTTACCACCAAGTCACACCAGACTTGGATGCTGGCAGCCTCATTCCAGACATTCCTCCAGAGCTCGTTTCTAGTAAAAGCCGCGGTTGGAAAAAGTTGTAATTTGGAGACCAAGCTTCCAAGGAGACCTGCGGGCCAAGAGGTTTCGGGGGTTTGAGTCCCCCCCCCAAAAAAAGTAACTTTCCCGAGCTCTGAGTAAGAAGAAGCTAAGTTCGTGATCAGTGGCATTCTTATTAGCTGACGTTCTCTTTCAGCCAGATCTCTACACCAAGCATGGGCCAACTCCAGGTGTTTTGGACTTCAACTCCCACCATTCCTATGATGGGACTTGAAGTCCAAACACCTGGAGGGCCATAGTTTGCCCATGCCTGGTCTACACTGTGGAATGAATGCAGGTTTATATTTTGCTCAAATAACTTCTCATTGAGACATCAAGGGCTCTTTTTGCCATTTTTTTTGTTGTGTCAGGAGTGACTTGAGAAACTGCAAGTCGCTTCTGGTGTGAGAGAATTGGACATTGCCCAAGGGATTGCCGGATGTTTTGATGTTTTATCGTCCTTGTGGGAAGTTTCTCTCATGTCCCCGCATGAGGAGCTGGAGTTGATAGAGGGAGCTCATCTGCGCTCTCCCCAGATTCGAACCTGTCTATCTTTTTGCCATGATGATGATGATGATGATAATGATGATGATAGTAATAATAATAATAATAATAATATAGTGTCTGCTGTGGACTCATCTTGTTGTGTTTCAAACAACAACAACAACAACAGTCCTAGACACTTGGGAAGTGTCGGACGTGTGATCCAATACAATAGCCAGCAGAGCGATCTTGTTTGCTGTGGACTCATCTTGTTGCATTAATAATAATAATAATAATAATAATAATAATAATAATAATAATAATAATATAGTGTCTGCTGTGGACTCATCTTGTTG